TTTCTTCCTTCGTTCCTTCCTTTTTTTCTTTCTCTCTTTTCTTTCCCTTCCTTCCTTCCTTCCTCCCTCCCTCCCTTTCTTTCTTTTTTCCTTCCTTCCTTCCTCTTTCTTTTTTCCTTCCTTCCTTCCTCCTTTCTTTTTTCCCCCCTCTCCTTCCCTTTTCTTCCCTTCCCTTCTTTCTTTCTCTTTTGATAGGGTTCTGCTCTGCCACCCAGGCTACAGTGCAGTAGCATGCTCTTGACTCACTACAGCCTCTGCCTCCCAGGCTCAAGCCATCCTCCCACCTTAGCCTCTCAAGTAGCTGGGGCTACAGATGTGCACCAACACACTCAGCTAATTTTTAATTTTTTTGCAGAGGTGAGGTTTCACTTTATTTCCCAGCCTGGTCTTGAACTCCTGGGCTCAAGCAGTCTTCCCAACTCAGCCTCCCAAAAGTTTATAGGAGTAAGCCACCAAACCTAGCTTGGTTTTACCCTATTTTCAATCTACTATATTAGCCTGCCAGAGTTTGGTGGTGGTGGTAGAAGACATGAGTCTCCTGGATTAGAGATGAAAGACAGTTCATTACTCAGAGCACTAGCAATAGAGTATAGCACTGGCATTTTTTGCACTGATTCCCTGGACCCCAATTCTCATATCTGGTGTGGAGAGCCCCAGATGACACCTGCACACACAGCAAGTTGGATTATAGGAGAGAAACTTTGACCTTAGGGAACCTGAATCTTTTTAAAGTGAGCAGGAAGTATGCCTGGACTTTGCTGCAGAGGGAGACACTTTATTTTCTAAGAATGTAAACCAACTTGTCTTTTGTTCTAGAGGGAGATATTAGTTCTATCTTTCAGGGCTGTTTCCTATACAAATATCCTTGGAAAGGTAGTCTGGAACACAAAGGACATTGAGTTGTAACTCTGAAGGTACTCAAGAATGTGAGAAACCCATGGAGAATCACCTCCTAGCAATGGGTTTATATTCTTTGCCAGAATGGAATCAAATTGAGAACTAAAATTTAAAGCATTTAAATCAAAGGAAACATTTAAAAAATCATAAACTTATTTGATGAAAACTATTATGATTTACAGAGAAGGGTCTATTGAAAGTGTCAACAATTTTAAATATGTAATTGATAAATTCGTATAAATTTTGAAGATTTCTGGAAATTTCATGAAAAGGAACTTATAAAGACATTGATTCTTTTTTAGAAAAAAAATCTGACAATCTAATATTTCAAAGAGATAGAGCTCAGAAACTGGTTATTCTCCTAATATTATTTTAAATGTTGAGATAATATAACAATGTTTTGAAACATTTGCTTCAGATATACACAGATGTCATTTTTATTTTCATGAAGAATTTCAATTTTGAAATAACTTTTGAATAGAACCATTTATAAATCTACCCATATAATAAAAAACAATTGATAATAACATGTTTTCCAAAACAAAATATAATTTCAGTTATTTAAGTGTTCCTTTTCAGGATCAAAACCCTTTTCAGGATCAAGAATGTCCTCCTAGCTTGGATGAAAAATTATCTGTTCATCTGAGTATGAATGAAAGTTGCCTGGTGAGAGGAAGGAATTGAATGATTGCAGGAGACCAATAAAGGCTAGAGAAGTTATAAAAAGCTTTCGTGAGAAATGTGAATGTGATCTCATACAATATATGCACAGAACAGTGCTGTTCAATTCATTTGTATTTTCACCACATTCAGAGAATCATTGAACTTTTGAGTTGGAAAGTTAGAACTTATCTACTGTAATGTTCAACCCAATGCAATATTTTTAAAGACACCCTTTACAGATTTAAATTTTATTTTAAAAGCATTACATATATTTTAAAATAATTTAGGGGGCATGTGAAAAAGTAATATGTTGAATACATTCAACATAAAAGTCTATTGTATTCACACTGTTTCTGTTCTATTCAAAAAATCATTCATATTTTCTCCTAATGTTGACTTTCCACCTTTCAGCTGAGCATAATCTTGACTCTCTTAATTAAAAAGCTGCCTTAATTTGGGGCATTTTCTACACATGCAAAAATATCAGCTTCTTGATGTCTTCTTCCTTTCCATACGTAATTGCAAGTGGATTTTAACACCACTTTTGGTTGCTAAGTAATTTAATCATGAAGATTAGTATGATGGGAATATAGCAAAGTTATTAAAAATTGGGGCTTTGGGGTCAACTGGAACGAGGTTTGAATTCTGATTCCGCTTCTTATAAGCCGTAGGACTTGAAGTTATTTAATCTCTCAAAGTCTCAACTGCCTCATCAGTGAAATGGGGGTAATAATGACAATACTTTCCTCACTGAATGGTTGTTAGGGTTAAATGCTATAATATACTTAACTGTTTAGATAATGCCTGCCACGTGGTTAACACTGAATAAACATGATCAATGATGATGAGTATGATGACAATATCAACATAACACAAAACCAAAGGTCTAAAACTCAACATCATCTAATTTTTAAAAAGCCATTAGTATTAGAATCTAATTCTAATTCTAAAAAGAATCTAATTCTAACTTTATTTTATTTATTAATTTATATATTACCTTCCACTTCATGGAATTCTTTCAGTAGAGATGCCTAATGACATCTTCCACTTGACTGTTTTCTCATATGAGAAAACCTAGTGTGTGGGAGAAGGGAATGAATGGTCTGAGTGGGAAAGGATGGTACTTGGACAGATGGACAGAAGCACATCCTTTGCCTGAGTGTGATTTTTGCAGTTTGATGATTTTTCAAAAGCAGTTTGCAAAGCTAGGATAACTAATCTGGACCATAGCCTTATTAGTAAAGTCAATATTTTTATCCCTGTTTTACAGATAGAGGAACTGAGCCAAGACATGGTAAATGTCTTTGTCAAGGTTATGCGGAAAGTCAGGACAGAACTACATATTTATTTCAGAGTATTGATTCTAAAGCCAAAGCCATAGGCTGTGTAATCCTCCTAATATGCAAAATAACTGAAAACACACCCTTATGCGATGGATGTTTTAAAAATAGAATAATGCAAATGTCATTTTCAAAATCTCCAAATTAATGTCACACCTGTGTAATCACTTATTTCTAACATTACGCTGGTGTTAGTTGAAGCATGAAAGAAAATGTACCTGCAAAAAGAAACTACTAATTGTATTGACAAAGCAGCTTTTGGAAAAAAGACTAGAGCTGGAGGAAGAGGTAGAGAAAGGATAGAAGAAGGAATTAATTTAATACCTTTAACACATCTGTACCTGATGCATTTTAATATTGAACTGAAATTCATGAACAAATATTACCGGTGGGGTTTCCTACTGACATAAATGGCAGTACTGAATTTCCTTCCTCGTCTGCAGCTCTAGCTCATCTGGAGCTCTATGGCTAAATGAAGGAGGAAGCCAGCCAGAGAATTCATCACAAAATGTAGTAATTCTTGTCCAGCAGAAAAGAGCTATTTATTTCTTTGGTAAAGCAGGGTGTGGATAGACAGTTTAATTAGAAGAACATCTAGATGCAGGGAATAACTATATTTCCTTTCTCTATTTTTGTCTTCAGTCTTTTGCTGAAATGTGTGATCGAGCTGCTTCTGAAAACCATTTTAAATTGGCATAGATGGATCTTCCTTGGCTAAATTTAGCAGGACAGTCAAAATTTTAGTAGTCTGTCTCACCCACTCTAAGCTAATTTCCCACTAAGCATTTATGCCTGCTAACTGGCTGTTGTTTGTATGGAAATGTATAGTTTTGCTTTCCAAGAGAAGAGTTGGCAGTGGGGTATAGTAAGCCCCAAAACATTTCCTATGCCAGGATTAGACATTGTTTTCATCTTCTAGGGGGAAGTAAACCAGGCATGTACAGACAAGTCCTCTACAAAAGCCCTCTGTAGAACAAATTCACTTTCAGTATTGCTATTTCAGATAAATTGCATCTCCAAATGCTTTGTATGAAAATTTCCAGTTAGTAAATTTGGTTAAAAAATATTACATTTGGATGCTGGACTCAAGAATGTCATCCTGGTGACATCTGATACAATAAAAATAGTCCATGTGGATAACTAATTTAAGAAAGAAAAACCTATCGTGCTTTGGTGCTAATTTCAAATAGTCTGTTTCTGTGCTCAACAAGCCAGGTTCTATCACCACTCGCAACAGGAATTTGAAATTGACTTGGATAGTAAATCTATTATGGCTATTAATGATCTCATTGGAGTCCAAACAGTGCACTGATTTTTTTCCCCATTATCCAGATTATTAAATGAAAAGGGAGCCACCCCCTCCCCAGCTCCCTGGCATAACCCCTGCCTGGTCTGGCTCTAGCTCCTACTCAGGGCTCACCTTTCCAAGCTGTGTCTGCCACTCTTGCTGCTGCAGGCCCCCAGCTGAAGCTTCTTGACTAGTCACATCCATCTTTGTGTGAGCCTGGGTTGGGACTTTTTCTCCTTTTCCTGGGAAAGTTCCTTTGGTTGGTTTCTGGGTTGCTCCCTCATAGTCCCTATTTCTGACCTGATTCCCTTTCATTTATGTGGAATTGTATCCTCTCTGGTAGGAGTATTTGATTAATTTCTTCCATTCCTCTCCCCAGACCATAATCTCTTTAAGAGCAAAAAATATTATTGTATCCACAGCACTTAGTCCCTTGTCTAGCAGCTACAAAAGGGAAACATCCTAAGTATTTGTTGATTGAATGACTGAATAAATGAATGTTAGGGGAACTTCCCCCAAATCAAGTGTCAATAAAATGCAGACAAGATGTTGTGTCTCTGAGTGATCTGAGATAATGGAAAAACAGAAGAGGCTAAAACCTAGAAGATAAACTTCTCTAGTCTCACAATTTTACTTGAGGGCTCACCCTGTTACTGAGTACCGAGGTGCCTTGGGACATGTTTATATCATTAGTGTCAGATTTATATCAGTAATATATTGTGAAAACCCCGGTCTACTAAAAAGAAAAAAAAAAAGAAAAGACTTTTTTCCACAGGAACTGCTCCAGTAATGGAAGTGATTTTCACCAGCAGGGCTTGATAAACTTAACTACAACCCCATCAGAGAACTGAAAGGGGCCCCCAGGAGAAAGGCACAACCAAATGGAAGTAACTTCAGAGCAGCAGTGCCTGTGAGATTTGGATTCCAGGGTCACATTGCGGGAGTGTTCAGGGTGCCTGTGCCGATATATGAGAATCCAGGTAGCATCCTTTCCCACCCCCTGTTCCTTCACTCTCCTCTGGCATTGTAATGACTGGGGTCAGGTCTAAGCAGATATCTTTTATCTCAAACTTCTGCATATGAAAGCGGCAGCATTAGTTGAGTTCGCATGCAGAGGACAGGTCATGTGTGCAACAGGAAGGAAATCTTAATATCAAAACACATGTAATTCTTTTTGGTAGCTGTGATTTTTGTTTGTTTGATTTTTGGGTTTTGTTTTAATGAGATATGGTCCTGATCGGTTGGGGGCTTGGGTGCAGCAGTACAAACATAGTTCACTGCAGCCTGAAACTCCAAGCTTTAAGTGATCCATATTCCTTGACCTCCCAAGTAGCAGGACTACAGGCACGTGACACCACACCTGGCTAATTTTAAAACTTTTTTTTGGAGAGACCCTGCTATGTTGCTCATGCTGGTCTTGAACTCCTGGCCTCAAACAATCCTCCTGCCTCGGCTTCCCAAAGCACTGAAACTACAGGCATGAGCCATGGCACTCAGCCAGTAGTTGCTTTTTTAAAGGTGTAATCTTGGGAGTGCTGTCATCAGACTTACCTATGTGCTTTCAAAACTTCAATTTGTGCCTGCTCAGCCCCAACTGAATCAGAGTATTCTGTTGGTTGGGGGCATGGGAGGTGAGTGCGGAGTTGTATTAGTTTGCTAGGGCTGCCATAACAAACTACCAAGAATTGGGTGGTTTAAACAACAGAAATTCATTTGCCCAGAGTTCTAGAGGCTAGGAGTCCAAGAATAGTTGGCAGCAGGTCGAGTTCCTCCGGAGACCTCTCTCCTGAGTTTGTGCATAGCCACCTTCCTGCTGCTTCTTTACATGGTCCCTCTCTGTGCCTGTGCACCTGTGATGTTTCCCTATGTGTTCTAATTCCCTTTTCTTATAAGGACACCAGTCAGATTGAATGAGGACCCAACCAAATGACCTTATTTTCACTTTTAGTGAACTCTTTACAGGGCCTATCTGTAAATACTGACACATTCTGAGGTACTGGAAGTTAGAGTTTCAAACATATAAATTTTGGTGGACGCAACTCAGTCCATAACAGGAATGTTAACTTAAAAACACTTCAGATGATTATAAAAGCACAAATCTGAAAAGCAGTGGTTATTCTTCACCCCTGCCTTGTGGAAAAGTATAGGGCTTTTGCTAGTCATTGGCAGAACCAGGAAGCTCCCGGCTCTTGCTGCTCCAAACTCATTAGGCACATCTGTGTGTCATAACCATCAAGGTCGGGGAATGCTATGTACTTTTTAACCTAATGTGATGACTCTTTCCTCCTACACTTAACTATCTCATTAGCAACTCTCAGGCTATGAAAACAACTTGGCTCTGGGGCTAAATAGTATTTACACTCATAATTTTTATTTTGCCAGGCTCAACAGACTTTTTGTTATGAATTAACAATCCCTAATAGAGACATTGACCTCCATCCATTTAATAAACCAATAAGTGTTGCACTTCCATGTACAAAGAATGCAAATAACCTGTGACCAGCACAGCCTAGATGCCAGTGTGCTGAGTGGCCATGCCCACGGGGTTCAATGTGTGCTATAGACTGAATGTGTCCCCCTCAAAACGTCATATGTCGAAACAATTGCCAATGTGAGTGTATTAAAAGGTGGGGACTTTAGGAAGTGATCAGGTTATCAGGGCTCCACACTCATGGATGGGATCAGTGCCTTATTAAAAAGGCATCACACAGCATTATCCTTTCGTGCTCAGCCTTCCACCATGTGAGGACGCAGCAATAAGGCACCATCTCGGAAGCAGAGAGGGAGCTTTCACTGGACACCAAATCAGCCAGAACCTTGATCTTAGACTTCCCAGATTCCAGAACCGTGAGAAACAAATTTCTATTGTTTATAAGTTAACCAGAGTGTGGTATTTTGTTCTAGCAGTAGGAGTAGACTAAGATTGTACCAGTTAAATTTTGCAATTATGGGTAATTTGTCTGTGCCTGTGTGAGAGAATTGATCATAGTATATCATAGTTAATTGTTCATATATTTGTCTTTTTTGCCTACTGGTAAGTTTCTTGAGAGCAGGGGCGGGAACTATATTCAGTTTCATTTCTCTAAAATATTGCCTGGCATAAATATTTATTGGATAAATGAATGATCAGTGTATTTGAGAAATACTTTCAGGTTTGAGATTTGTCTTCGCCCATCATCTTTGCTAATCTCACTAAATTATACATGTGTGTTATTTTAAATCTCTGCCTATGAAGGTGAAAGAAGAAAATCTCAGTTTTTGCACAATCTCAGAAACAACTAAATGTAAACAAACATGAATAAAATTCCAATCTATTTCTTTAATAGAAAAGCCTAATAGCAAACCAATATGATTTAAACAAGGGAATTATCTCATTATGGAAAACACATTATGCCTGTATCAACCATTTGCCTTGTTATTGTGACACAAACAAAAATAAAGTGGTCCTGGAATGAAATGAATTGAGTCTTTGAGGGACAGGGTGCAAAACTGTCCCCTGCCGCCTTCCAGCAGAATGATTTGTCAATACAGAGAGGGCCACTTCTGGAAAAGGGTCTCCTTTCTTTGAAAAGAGCACCTGAAACAAGTGTTACAACTCCAATGTGGTTACTGAGACCTCCCAGGGCACATGCTTATTCCTTCACTGTGCTGCCACAAATAGGCAGGTCTTCACTGGGGACTAGGAGTCTATATTTAACAGTAAGAGTTCATTGTATTCATTATAACATCATGGAAATGACATTTGGGACATTTTATCTGCATAAAGTAGAATCTTTAAAAACTTCTATTTTGGAAACCATTTCATATCTTCTCATAACGATGCCTTCTGTTAAAATATTTCTAGTATAGGACTAAAGTATGAAGCATTTACGGAAGAAATGAAAATATTCCGGACAGCAAGCAGGCAAGGCAGTGGCAATGGCTCAAAATAACTAAGTTATAAAAGAAGTATCTAAATAGTGTGACATCTCACTCATCAGAACTCCCTTAATAAAGAATTTTTGAGAATTCTAATAGAATTGAAACTGAAAATAACTTATGTACTTCTGTAGAAGAACAAAACTTTCCCTTCTTAAGAGATAGCATAAATATGATATTTATTCAGGAAGACTAAATAAAAACCCATTTAATAAATACCTATTTGAAAGCCATTTTCAAGTACTTTGGCCCCACAAACCTACGTATACTAGACATATTATAGTATAACATTTTCTTTATTCCTTTAACTTCTCTTCTTCATTATCAGTGGTGAGAAGGTTTTGTTTTTGTTTTGCAAAATAATACATCAGTCCTGAAAGATGATGAATATTGGCCAGATAATAATCTGTTTAGTCTTATAAATGCTCCACAAATGCTCCCACAATGGATCCAGGAATAACTTTCCATAGTTTTGACAACAAGCAATAGCTGAAAGTAGCTAAGATGCTATGGGAGGACTGAGAGGAAAATAGATTTTGGGGTACTCATTCCTAGATAACTCTGAATGACCTGACAGGGACCCAGAGGATACAAGACAAGGGATGTTGTGACTTTCCTTTGGAGTCAAAATGTTTGGAATTGGCTGTTCATAAATGTGTGTTCTTTCTGACCATGGTCTTATTGGCATGTCCTTCCAGCTAAGTGGGTCCTTTTGGCAAGGTTACATTTAACCCATTGTTAAAGGTGTCCTTTGCTGCATAATTCTTGTCAAGCACTCATAAGCAACAAAAATGCATGCTTTAAACATATTTTAGAAATCACCTTTTAATTATTACTGGTCTTCCTTTCTGTTAGCTTTGCTCATCTCTGATCTCTGAATGCTCTGATATTTCCAAACAGGCAGATCCTTCAATGTTCTCTCATTTTCCTTGTCTGCCTACCTGCTCTGGCTCTGCTGTTAGACTGAGGTCAAGTTACTTCACAGTAGTGGACCTTGTTTTACGTGCTTATAATCTCCAAACAGTAGAGTATATAACAGGAACATAGAAGTGGTCAATAACGTGTGTTGGTTATTTGAATTTTTAAAAATCGGAAAGCATAAATCAAACAAGATTCTTCTGATTTCAACCCAGTCTTTTCTCTGCTTTTCTTAAATCCCTCCTTGAAAATTTTAAGAAAAAGATGTAGGTATTAAAGTCACAAGTTTAAAAAAATAGAAGAAAACCCCTCTCCCTTTCTGCCAGAAGCAAGAGTAATACAAACATGAATGCACTGAATCCTCTTCACCCACATCGTGCCACAGAGGCTGTTTTATAAGTCAGTTATGAGCTACGCTCTGTTGTTTGAGTGATAAAATATGTGACATGTTTCATGTCAGATACAACTATGAGAGCAATCTTTCACCCACTGTGTCTTCTTGCTACACATTAGCATCTCCTACAACCACCGACTGAGAAACTTCAGCGTTCTCACCCGCTGCCTCTTCTCCACCCATTGTATGCAGTACAGCAAGAGGAAATGGTAGCTCTCATCTTAGAGAAGAAATGGAAAACTTTTTCTTTCTCTTCCCTTCCTCGTACTTGGTGTTCCCAAAGGGTTAGCCCACCACTGATCATCACATTTGCTAATGTGAAGCTACAGCAGTTCCTTTGTTACATGCTTTCATTGTCAGCCCCAAGTCCTAATGAATTGACTTGAGTATGTATACCATTGCTCTCCTGAGGAATATAATGGGCCTGCTTAAAAATAACCACCCTTTCCCATGCTGTGCTAGTTCATTTTCAGTAAACACTTTATATCAGAAAATGGCTTTTTGCTCTTGTAGTGATTTTGTGAGGAAAGATTTGGGAAACATTGCATATTGATTATTGCTGAGAAAAAAAATACGAAAATTAACTGTTAGGTTTTTTTCTAAGTGTTGGATGAATGTTGAATTGAAAAATAATAATAGTAAGATTACTGGGCTATTTGTTGAGAAACCGGACCATCTCTTAATGCCAGTATCATTAGGGGTTCTTTGTTTGTTTGTTTGAGATAAGTTTCTTGATAGCTTTGTATCACAGAATCATAGAAACTTAGAAGTAACCTTATAAACCCTCTAATCCAGCCCCATCAATTTAGCTTGGGAAAAAGTTAACAAAAGAATAAATAATCATGATAGTATATTATATTTATTTTTTTGAGCTTAAAAATTAAATCTTAAATTTTAGAAAAGATTTTATTTACAAAACATTGCAGATAGTACAGAAAATTCCCACATACCCAAAGACAGTTTACCTTATTATTAATGTCTTAAGTTAATATGGCACATTTGTCACAATTACTAAACTGATATTGATATATTAGTATTTATGAAAGTCAATACTGTATTCAGGTTTTCTCAATTTTTTCCTAATATCTTTTTTCTGTTCCAGGTTCTCAT